TGCATTACCAGGCAACCTTGCTTATGATAACAATCATCTCTGATTAATAAATTGCAACTGGACTAGTAGATACTATATGTGACGTCCAAATACCTGATGGAAACCAAAATATTTTAGCCCTTGTCATTGAGCGGTTGCTTGCAGGAAACCTATGAACAGTGCTTATGAAATTTTTATAGAATATGTCGGCTTATGATGCTTTTAATCTAGGACAATCAGCATCTGCCCAGTGTGAACCAGAGCTACTACCTGGAGGGCTATAATGAGTACTCAAACAGTATATTTCGCTTTGTGTTTCTATGGGGGTGCAAACTGTTGAAATCTTTACTTAATGTATACTAAACTGATCTTCTGTGAAAAAAAAAAAAGAAGAAATTATCAATTCCCAACTTGACTCTCACTGGGATTAAACATGACAATAGGTCTGATCTGATTTCATCATCATTTAAAAAATCATCTATTATTTCTCACTTTATGTTTGTGTGGGAGCAAACTGTTGAAATCTTTACTTAATGTATGCTAAACTGATCTTCTGTATATAAAGAGAATCGAAAATGAATCTTGATGTGAATGGAAGGAGAGAGGGAGTGGGAAAGGGGAGGGTTGCGTGTGGGAGGGACGTTATGGGGGGGAAGCCATTGTAATCCATAAGCCGTACTTTGGAAATTTATATTCATTAAATAAAAGTTAAAAAAATAAATAAAAAAACCTGTATATATGAAATATATGACATTTGTTCTATTTATATAAATAAAAAAGTTAAAAAAGGAAAAAAAAAAGTTCCCTTAACCTAATTTCTCAAGGCCTCTCAAAATTGTCTGACTCAACGTACACTGGGATAATTATAACAATAATAAGAAAAAAAATGTGTGCTATTTGTCTTTACTGCCAACACAGCCAAACTTTATCCTTTGGATTTAAATAAAAGTGTCTTTTACAATGAAAAATAAAAGCTAAGAACATAATTTCCCATACTTCTTTGCCTAAATTATCTTATTGCATTTCCATAGGAACCATTATTGTTTACGTAAACACAGAGACACACACAAATATTCAACCATCTTTCCCCACCTTCACTTCTTTCTTGCAATTTCCACTCACATTCCTTTAGTTTCTATAAACTTGTTTCTTCATGCATTACACATTCTGCCTCCTTGTTTTTCTGCTGACTAGCCTCCTTTTTTCTTACTTGTACCCTTAGAGTTTGGATGCTTAAAACCTTAAAGTGGTACAATATTCAGTTTTCCAAATAAATACATACTTTGAAACTCCTTTAATCTCTAGCTACTAAAGAACTGAAAAGCTCTCAACTTACAGAAAATGCCCTTGAATCTTGGGAATGATGATACTGTCTTTTCAGGCTTTCAGCAAATGTACACTATAAAATGGGGGTGGGAAGGAAGCTAAGAAAAATATTCACTTAACAGTACTATCTTATTTCAAAACTCCTTGAAATATCTCTGGTCTGCTGCTGAGTGCTTTTATTTCCTTCTAGATCTTCATATGGTGGAACAACTAAAATGCACCTACAAATATCCAGTGAACTTAAAACACTTTGATTACTGAGAAAGAGCAAAAATTCTTTCTCCCAGATCAGCCGGTAGTGAAGATGTAAACCACATTTTTACATGCCATCTTTCTCAGAAGGATAAGCCTGATAAGGTTGAAGAAAATAGAGGTACAGCACTTAGGGCCACGCAAAGTACACTATGCTCCACACAGATTCAACTTTGCATTAACAATTTTTCATGTTTTTTTTTTTTTCTTCCTTATGTCTCTTCAGGAAATCTAATCAATCAAATTATGAGCCAAGTATGTACTTAGACCACATGTTTTTTTTTACTGAGGTGGTAAAATGCACAATTTTATACCTATAAGGTTTTATTTTTTTTAGATAGATAAATTCTTATCCAGGATAAAAGTGACACGGCTCTTGCTTTTGAGAACACGCATTCCCTTCCCTGAGGTAGTAAGCTGTAGAGAGTCCTGAGGCACAATCCACAGAGATTTTAGGAGGAAATTTAGAAATTTAAAAGAAAGAAAGAAACTTATATGCACTAAACTGTCAAGCTTAACAACTCGAAACATTTGTGAAGATAAATTTCAGAGTCAAGGGACTTTGAAGATGTGTGCTATGTCACCTCCCTTACATCAAGAACATGTAAGTACCCTAAATGGCAAAATGCAAGTAACGTATACATACACATCATTTAACTGAAAGAATGGGCAATGAGTTCCAGAATGGCATGCAAGAAGGAAACAAGAGAGCAGTGTTTATTGGTGTTGCTTGTATGAGTATAGAGAGTTTATGTGCATGGATGATACTGTGAGGAACCTCTACCACTTGACAACTGGGTCACATCTATGTTTCATCATTTTGAACAATAAAATGGACTTTGTATTTGTTTTCAAGTGCTTCTGTAACAAATTACTATAATCCTACTGGCGTAAAATAACTCAAATGTATGAGGAGATCTTGAAAGTATTCACAGAAAACTCAGAAAAAACTATGCATGGATTTAAAAACCTTTTTTCACCAAAATAAACTTATCCTTTTTTTCCATGAACTTTTTGAAGTCTCCTTGTATTGTTCCACAGTTCTGAATATCAGAAGTCTGAAAAGAGGCTCACTGGGCTAAAATAGGTTTCAGCAGGACTTCATTTCTTCTGGAGGCTCTAGAGGGAAATTCATTTATTTGCTTTTTTGAGCTAGAGGTTGCTCAAGGCCTTGGCCTTTCCATAGCCTTTCCATCTTCAAAGTGGCCAACTGAGTCTTCCTCACAGTTCATCCTTCTGATTGTCATGTTCCTGCTTCCTGCTTTCACTAATAAGGACATTCATCATTACAGTGTGCCTGGGATAACCCAGGATCAAGATCAGCTGATTAAGCTGTCTCAATTCTTGCCTTGTAGCTTAGGATATTCTCTGGTGTTGGGATTAAGACATGGACATGATCAGGAAACATTATTCTGCCTACCTCAGACCTCATAAACTTCCTGTTAGGAACCAATGAAACAACTAGAAGAGAGGAATTCAAATATTCACAACACAAAGAAATTATAAATGTTTAAGGAGAAGAAAATGCAATCACTATGACTTGATCATTACACATTGTATACATGTATTTAATTATCACACTCTACCCCATAAAATATATGATTGTTTTGTGTCAAGTAAAAATAAAATAAATGAAATAAAATAACATGAAATATACTTATACACTTGCTATAGAAAGCAACCAACAAACATTATTCACATAAAAAATTCCATATAAAGATAGATATAAGTCACTAAATCTAACTGAACTAACAAAAACCAAAGTTAGTAAGAATGTATATAATGGTCAGATGTTTTTAAAAATCTTTTGCATTTGATTCATTCCCATTTATAACTCTTTTATAATTCAGGTTCAATCATTTTAAAGATTGAAAGCATCTACCCTCAGTGGCTTTCAGGGGGCCATTGTTTCAGCAGTGGCAATTGAGTCTGCTCAGGGAAATTGTTGACTTGCTGGAGTTAGCACAAAGACACAATTATTCAGTAAGCAGCACACGTCTCTATAGAGAAGTCAGACATAGAACATCAAGTGGGAACCTCTAAAGAGAAAATTGGGAGCTCTACTGCTTTCCATTATGTTCTATTCTGTTCTGAGATCTGAATTGCTGCTGATTTTTCATCTTTTAATCACTTCACAGAAGTTAAGTGTCCTTGGGAGACACTACAGAGGGTAGCACATATCTCATGCCATTGATTCTAAATTAATTTGATCTTTTAACTTCCAGTTACTGAGCTTCCTGAGCAGCTAAAAAAAGTCATCA